TTTTATTGTGGTGGAAGCAAAGCAGCAAAAGTCAGAGTGAATTCATGACGATGTTTATGTGAAGCGCAGTTTGGGTCTTCTTTTGCTGCTGGTTTGGTCAATATTGTTTGATGTCGAGGAGTAGCAGCTCTACTCTGAGCCCCTCCCGGATGGCTGAGCTTCTCACCCTCAAAACTCAAAATTTCCACCGCTTGTATCACAGTGTTTTGGTTGCTACCCAGAGCTTAAGATCATAGGTGAAGGCAGGAACATAGATCGACCGGTAAATTGAGAGCTTTGATTTTGATTTTTTTTTTTTAAAAACTCACCTCTCTTTTCACCATGATGGACCGGTACAGGGTCCACATCACTGCAACCGCTGCATCAATCCATCTTACAATCTCCCGCTCCCCTCACTCGTAAACAAGACCGAGAGATACTTAAACTCCACTGCATCAAGTGGAGGGGAGTTTAATTCGTCCCTGATCCAGAGTGGGTGCTGCACCCTTTTCTGGCTGAGGACCATGGCCTCAGACTTGGAAGTGCTAATTCACATTTCTGCCACTTCACACTCAAGCTGGAGGCCAGCACCTCGAAGCCAGCACAACCACATCATCTGCGAAAAGTAGACACCCAAGTCGGCAATGCAAACCAGGCTCTTGCAACAGTTATATAAGGGCCGAATGCAAAAGTGTAATATTTTTGCATCCACGTGTTTATGTGGGTGAACATTAAATTCAATGTTGACACAAAAAGTGTTTTTGTTGTTTTTCTGCAATGTGCAAATATTAACTGTTAATGTGTTGTTTTAAACAGGGAGAACCACACATTTGCGGCTACACGACCATCTGCCGTGCTACTTGAACAACTGGCAGTGTGTGTGGCCAAGGGAGAGCCGGTTCTTCTGGTGGGGGAGACTGGAACTGGAAAGACCTCTACTGTACAACAACTAGCTAGAATCACAGGTGAGCTCAGGTTTGCGCAAAGATGAAACTTGGCTGTGGCTCACTGGTGGTTTGAACCCTCCCTCCCCCTGTTACTATGTCTTTAAACTCCAATTATCTCCATAAACCTCTATGAATGGTTCATCCTATTTGAAATATTTCCTGTTTGTTCAATCCAGGACACAGGCTGCGGGTTGTGAACATGAACCAGCAGAGTGATACCGCAGATCTGCTTGGAGGGTGAGTCACACAGCAACTGTGCATTAATTGTATAAAAATAATACTCTGTCACTAAAACTATATAGATGAGAACAGCAGTCAAGTGTTTGTGACAACTGGCAATGAGTCATTCACATTGTGGGGGCGACCGTGGCTCAGGGGGTTGGGAAGCTCATCTGTAACTGGAAGGTTGCCGGTTCGATCCCCTGGTTGTTGTGTCCTTGGGCAAGACACTTCACCTACCGCCTACTGGTGTTGGCCAGAGGGGCCGATGGTGCGATATGTCAGTCTGCCCCAGGGCAGCTGTGGCTACAACTGTATCTTGCCTCCACCAGTGAGTGAATGTGAGAGTGAATGAATAGTGGAATTGTAAAGCGCTTTGGGTGCGTAGAAAAGCGCTATATAAATGCAATCCATTATTATTGTTGTTATTATTGTTGTTATTGCTTGGATAGCTCATTTCCCCTTCGTAAATGAAATCGTAATTTAAGAATGCAATATTTGTATTTGCTCAGGTTATCGTTCTCTAATATTACATTTTTTTGAAGCTATTAAACATCCAAGTATTACAAATATGCTAAAAAAAAAAGTTACGAAGTGGACAAATGTTTTATCATAGCACTGTAAATAGCTGCAATTCACAACAACAGTCATCTGATTAAGTCCCTCCGGTAGTTTTTCTACTGATCCGGGAAGACTACTGATAGTGTCTTTGCATTATGTATGATGAAGAGTAACCGGCTCTTGACTGGAGTTGTAGAGGCATCTCAAAGTCTATTAATGCACACCCTACAGTGTGTCCTAGATACATCATCAGTGATATAATGGGTTGTCACTGGGTCTTTCAGGACTTTCATGTTTATACATCCTCACCCTGATGACCTAGCTAGCATGGTTAGTCCCCAGCTTGTGTCTAAATAAATTGTGTTGTCCATGAGTCCTGCCTTTTCACACCTATCTTGATGGCCTCTCAGGTATATTGGTGACGTGTAAGATGGCTCTCTTACTGTGCAGTCCTCTGATCTCAAGTAACTTGACGACCTAGTAGATTGACTGGATAGCAAAACCTTGGCAGCTGACATCAATGGAGTAGCTCCTCATACTTGGCCCTCTTCCTCTCAAATACCTCTCCAATGCATTCTTCTAAGTTTCAGGAGGACCACCTGCCTCGATGATATGTCAGGCCTGGTTGTCACAACTACTGTGTCAGGGAATTTGAGCGGTCTCCCTAGGTTAGCCTTCCAACTGCCAGGCCTGAGCTGTTGTCAGAAGTCCTCTTGTATCCTGTTTCTTTTTTCTCTAGCCTTGACAAAAACAATAGTGCTTTGTTGCCTAGTGTAACCTGTTGAGAGATCTGCTGATATCTTCTGTAATAACTCTCAGCACCTAGTCAGGATGCCACTAATAACACCCTTCTCCCAGAGCTAACAGCTTAACACATGTGCTAATAACTTTCAGTTCTCTGCCGGGCCCCAGGAGGAAAGGTTGGTTAGGTTTGGGAGGGCATCGTTCACTCACTGAACCTTGATTTGATTTGATCTTCCAATAGTCCTGAACACAAGATGTTCTGGTCTATTGCCTGCGCCCATCTAGTCCATATTCCTTGCTTTTCATCCCAACCATCCTGCATTCTTCCCCCCCCATGCTTGGATTTCTTTCTGGGCTAACTGACATGTTGAGTTCTTGGGGTGCTGCCAGGTCCTGCCCATCCTACTGCAACTGTCCCCACCAGCTGGCTGTGTTACAGCCGCTTTTCCACCTGATCAGCACCCTCCTGAGCCCTCCACCTCCAGCTTTTCCTCACCTCTATGCTAGCCAATAGACTCTCTCTACAGCAACAGCACTTGCCTGAATATCCATGAATTCCTTCGAAAGGCTGCTTGCAGTGTTAGATTGCAGGAAAAAACCCAACCCACCTGTTGCAGGATCTTGATAATCTTCTCAAAGCCCCCCACCACAATGGTGGGACATGGTAAACCACCAGTGGAAAGTGGAGTTACAGCGGGATGCCATGCTGATACATCCAGGCCTTTCCTCTTAATTGGCTTCCCAGGTATTGATTGAATTTGGACTTCTCCTAGTGGATATGTTGCCCTTCTACACAACTAGAAATCAGAACCTGGTTGTCTTAAAGTCCATCTATACCCAGTTGATCAGGTGTTTGAGACCTTGATGGATCTATTTTATCCCAGGAGTCAATATTGTGATCACTGTCAGATTGTCCATGAAAGCCCTCATTGGGGGCCCAAAGTGGGGCCAAGCATATTCATGGTCAAAATAAACAAAATCTCTGAGAGGGTACACCCAATGATTATTCCCTAATCTAGCTCATAGAAAGCAGATGTTACTGGTCCAGCTGTCTCTATTGTAACTGAAGCAGCTGTAATAGTCCAAAATTTGGTTTCTGATCTTGTCTTGAATATGTGTTGAACGAGTGTGCTTTCCACCAGTTTGTGTGAGACTGCCCCATGAGCATTGGCAAGGTCAAATCGCAGAACTGCAGGGTCAGCATTTCCCTCCTGGATAAGCTAAATGACATTTCCTGTCTGATCGATGATCTAATACCCATGGAGCGCTGACGCAGTGTCGATATATGGATTGCTTAAAAGGGATTCTATGTATCTGGCAACAAAGCTAAAGAATATCTTCCCCTCAAAGTCGAGGAGTGAGGCGATTCCAAATTGTTCAGTAACATCTTGTTCATATTTCCACTGCTGTGCAACTTTTCCTATCCTCCAACTAACCTTGATGGAGTCTGGGGCACTTGATGTAGACAATGTAGGAGACTCCACTTGGACCTGGTGCTGAGGTACTTCTGCTTGCCTTGACAACCTGCTTGACCTCTCTCAGGTTTGGCTTATTGAAGTGGAATGTCACTATGGGTTATTGCAGGTTATCAAGGAAAAAACTGGATGGACCACAGCTTAAATCAGTGTCATATTCTCAATACGAATGGAAATATCAATCTTTTAGTTGTAGCAAAGAACAAAACCCAAACTGTGAAAATAAAAAAATAAATTTTTTTCCACTGGTTTTAAGTCATTCTTTTGGTAACACTTTGGTGCCAAACTCTATTAAGTAGTAAAAAAAACCTCCCAAAATCCATCCATCCATTCGCTTCCGCTTATCCTTTTCAGGGTCGCGGGGGGCGCTGGAGCCTATCCCAGCTGTCATAGGGCGAGAGGCGGGGTACACCCTGGACAGGTCGCCAGTCTGTCGCAGGGCCAACACACAGGGACAGACAACCATTCGCACTCACATTCATTCGCACATTCACACCTAGTGGCAATTTGGATTATCCAATTAACCTATCCCCACCAACTCCCAAAATGTCCCAGTAATTTCTTTTGATGATTTCTTCTTAGCTTAAACTTTTTTCTTTTAAATAACAGGTACAAGCCAGTGGACATAAAGCAGATCCTGCTCCCTCTGCGTGAGGCCTTCGAGGACCTGTTCTCCCAGACATACTCAAGAAAGCAAAACCTGACCTTCCTCGGTCACGTGCAAACCTGCTTCAGAGGCAAGCGTTGGCAGGATCTGCTTAAACTCATGGACCACGTCTGCAAGTCTGCTCTCATTAAGGAGCTGCAAGAGAAATCAGATGGTAATGCTCCAGAATTACTAGATGGTTACACCGGCTGTGTTAGAATAAAACACTGACGTTTTCCTGTATGTGCGTGTATGTGTCCGTGCAGCTGCTTTGTTGCAGGAGCAGTGGGAGGCACTGGCTTCAAAACTTAATCAGACCCAGCAGCAGATTAGGGCCTGTGAGACAGCCATGGTCTTTGCCTTTGTGGAGGTAAAGACTTAAAAAAATAACCACACATATGTTCGTGGATCCGAGCGTGGTAACCCTTACCTGTGTGTTTTGCTTTATAGGGAACATTAGCTCAGGCAGTGAAGAAGGGCCACTGGATCCTGCTGGATGAGATCAACTTGGCAGCAGCAGAGACCCTCGAGTGTCTGAGTGGACTTCTTGAGGGCAACACCAGATCTCTAGTACTGCTGGATCGTGGAGACACCGGTGAGGACTGCCATTACTTTGTCCCCTTTTTTAAAGCCTCCATTAAATACTTCCAAAGTTAGAACTCTGTAATTTTCTGTTTGTTTTTTTTGAGTAGAGCCCCTAGTACGCCACCCAGACTTCCGGCTTTTTGCCTGTATGAACCCAGCTACTGATGTTGGGAAGAGGAACCTGCCTCTGGGCCTCAGAAACAGGTGAGACTATGCAGAGCTGCAGACTACGCAAGAGGCTTTATGCCACAGGCATAATGCTCGACTGATCGAAAAGTATTTGTTTTTATATATTATATGTATATTTCTATACAAATATTTTTTTAAATCTAAGTAAGCATGTGTATGTTTTTGATCAAATGTTCTATATTCCTTACTTTATTATACGAGAATTATTTCCAAAATGGGAACAATGCTTCACTTCTAAAGCTCTGTATGTATGTATCGCTTAGGTTTACTGAGCTGTATGTGGAGGAGCTGGAGAATGAAGCTGACCTGAGGATCCTGATTTCAGATTACCTCAAGTGCTTAAATCCACATCGAAGTGTCATCAGTGGCATTATAAGGTTGGCTCTTATAAATGGTTGAACTTTTAAAAGATCGTTTTTTAAAGACGTTGCTAAACGAGTGTATTTCTTTTGTACACCATCCAACAATATACCTTCTTTGTTGACGCTATATGCAGCCTGATGCATTGTAGACTCGAATAGGTAGAGTGTGGTTTCATGAGCGTGTTTGCCTTTTGTGTTTTTGGTGCAGTCATCAAACAAACATCCTTACTCATTTTGGGTTAGTTACTTTCATCATAATAAAATTATGCCATAGATGCTTGCGTTACAAGCTTGCTGTTACATTTTAATGTTGTTTTTTTCACCCTCGGTCCTTCTGACACTTTTAGCTTTAGGATAGGATATATATGTAAGTGTGTGTGAGCTGTAGGTTTACACTACCTTCTGAATGGCTTATTTGTCAAATGTATTTCTTTGCAGCTTTTACCTGACAGTACGAAAGGAAGCAAACTCACGTCTGGTGGATGGAAGGGGCCACAGACCCCACTACAGTCTGCGGACTCTGTGCAGGGCCCTGAAGTATGCGGCACTAAACCCCTGTAACAACGTGCAGCGCTCACTTTATGAGGTGGGAATCAGATCTCTTATTTATAAGTAGTCATATTGAGAATGGTCAGTTTTGTTTAATGCCCTGTGTTTTTAATCATCATTATTATTATTTTAGTATTTGAAGGTTTGATGTTTTTGTACTTCTTGTACCTGTTCTCATCAACTGCGTCTTGTGTGCAGGGGTTCTGCCTGAGCTTCCTCACTCAGCTGGACAGAAGCTCCCACCCTGTGGTCCAGAAACTGGTGTGTCAGCACATCCTGATGGGAAACACAAAGTGTCTGAAACAAGTAAGATCTTATTAGAGGTGCTTTAAAAAAATAATGAGAAAACCCCCCAAAATGTGTGTGTGTGTGTGCATAAAACAATCTTAGATGAAGATACCACAAACCAAAGACGTTATCACTTTCAACACACTTCATATGTGCTCTTTCTCTTTTCTAACAAGCTTTCAATGTGAAAAATGTTTCATTTTTCAGCATGAGCTAAAATGGATTTTAAAGTTCTGAAAAGTGACTTGTTGTAGCTCAGGAGGTAGAGCAGGCCATCTACCAAGTAGAAGCTTTGTGGTTCGATCCCTGATACAAGACATGCATGCCAAATATCTTTGGGCAAGATATGAACGTGTGAATGTTAGATAGATGTAGCACTCATAGCAAAAAGTGCTTGTGTGAAGGGCTGAATGAGGCAAGTTGTATAAAACACTTTGAGTGCTCAGAGTAGAAATGTGCTATCATTTACCAGTTTAGGGCAAAGTGATACGGAGGTATATATTATTATATGCAACCTTTCTTTGTGCGCTGTGTTTCCTACAGTCCATCCCGGCACCCTCAGGCCGACCCTGTGTTGAAATGGAAGGCTACTGGGTTTCCCAGGGGGAGATGGAACCAGGTCTCGACCCCAGCTACATTCTCACTCCCTCAGTCAAGCTGAACCTTCGCGACCTTGCCAGAGTGGTGTCTGCAGGGTGAGCTATCACCCAATCTGACCCCTTGTACACTGTTCCCCCCTGAATCAATGGTTTCATATATAAATCTCTAGATATTCATGTTGACAGAGCTAATTCAGGCCCTTCAGTAAAGGATGCACCAGAGTGCATTAGGACAGATCTGTGGTTGGACTGAATTGCCCTGCAGTCAGTGGCCTTCCAAACAGGAGGCTTTGATGTTTTTTATAACAGTGGAAAGAAAGAGCTGTGATTCAGCCATCAGCTTTCCTGTGTTTCTCCAAAGGAATACATTTGTCTATTCCTTTCTGCTCCTACGCAACATTAACATGCCAGACTTAAATGTGAATGGTGAGGACATCACTTCTTACTTTTAGAGTTTTGGGGCAGTGCATATCACAACTATAAAGATTTTTGAGTTGAAAATCATACCAGTTTGTTACAGGCTTTAAATGTGAACAATATGTGTGCAACAATAATAATAATGGATTGCATTTATATAGCGCTTTTTGGGACCCCTCAAAGCGCTTTACAATTCCACTATTCATTCACTCTCACATTCACTCACTGGTGGAGGCAAGCTACAGTTGTAGCCACAGCTGCCCTGGGACAGACTGACAGAAGCGAGGCTGCCATATCGCGCCATCATCAGTAGGCGGTAGGTGAAGTGTCTTGCCCAAGGACACAACGACAGAGACTGTCCGAGCCGGGGCTCGAACCGGCAACCTTCCGATTACAAGACGAACACCCAACTCTTGAGCCACGATCGCCCGAAGAGGCGGCCAGTAGTTGGTAGTGTTGCCGCACAGCACAAAGTTCCTGAGTCTGACTCATCTTCTTCGATGTATTCTGTTGTCACAAACAGAAAAGGTTCAAAGCATTTTGTTTGGTTTTGTTTATAACTCAGAGGTCCTTCACCACTTAGCTGCTCTTAAGGTTAATTTCATACAGTCAGGAAATAACGTCACGCAGCACTTAGTTGATGACATTTGAGTTGTGTGCCCTCCCATAACCAGCCCAAATGTTGCTTTGGCTTTACAGGACTCACCCAGTGCTGATCCAGGGAGAGACATCTGTGGGGAAGACCAGTTTGATCAGGTGGCTGGCTGCTGCCACCGGGAACCAGTGTGTGAGAATCAACAACCACGAGCACACCGATGTCCAGGAGTACATTGGCTGTTACTCATCAGATGACCGGGGCAAGCTGGTGTTTAAAGAGGGTATGAGCATTTAAAATAGTGTTACATGACTCCTGGGGCTTTTTTCTAGGGAATCAGCTTTTTCATTCTCTCTCTCTAAGACTAGGAAAGATAAACACCGATTCTGTTCCCTGTCCCAATGGCAGTGTTTTTGTGCCAAAAAAAAAAAAACCCACAGCAATGAAGAGTGAAGCAGTCATGTGACTTGCAAAAGAGAAAAAAATCAATTCATTGAAAACTTGAAAGGTTTTCTCTGTATGTAAATACCCAGTTTTTTAAGTAAGGCTTAATAAAATGAAGTGTGAACGAAAAACAAACAACACTTATAGTTTCATAATTTAAAACTATATTTATTGTAAAATGGAAGAAAGGTAACAGATGTTGAAATTGAGACATTTATATACTTTGTCATTTTGAATCTGATGGAAGCAACATGTAAAAGGGAAAAAAAACTGAAACGAGGTAACAAAAGACTGTAAATTTGTGCAACACGTGTGAGGTTGGACTGTATCCAAAGGCTTACTATAGATCTTCCCTCAAGACCTCCTGAAAAATCTGAATAATTTAAATAAAAATCAAGACTTTCTATTTCACAAAGCATCCAAACCATTTGGGAAACTGTCAGAGAATAAAAATTGCTAATAAATGAGAATCACAGTTAATTACCTTAACTGCTAATGTGAAGTAGCTCGGCCCCAGTCCACATGGCTAATTTTATTTGTCTTTGATTAAGGCGTTCTTATTGATGCTATGAGGAAAGGCTACTGGATCATCCTAGATGAGCTGAACCTGGCCCCCACTGATGTTCTGGAGGCCCTCAACAGATTGTTGGACGACAACAGAGAACTCTTTGTGGCTGAAACTCAGGAAGTCATCAGTGCTCACCCCAGGTTCATGCTGTTTGCTACCCAGAATCCCCCTGGTCTCTACGGTGGTAGAAAGGTATAGCATTCCTTTAGCTTAGGAAGATGGATAAAGTAGCTGTGAAGTGAAATATTATTTGGATAGAAATCATGAAGATTTTACATGATCATAAAGGTACGGACAGGCCTTTTTATGAAAAAAACAAAAAAACACACACACACAAAAAAGTTGGTAGAACGTGTGTATTCATTATATATATTAATTCTATGCAACACTATCTAGGTGCTCTCCAGGGCTTTTAGGAATCGCTTTGTGGAGCTACACTTTGATGAGCTTCCCAGTGCAGAGCTGGAGATCATCCTTCATCAGAGGTGCAGCCTTCCCCCATCTTACTGCACCAAGCTAGTGAAAGTCATGCAAGACCTTCAGGTAAGTGTTGCACTGTCTCTCGCGTCTACTCGTATCTTTCTATTACTTGCCTGTTCTCGTTGATCCTGACTAATTGTTCTACAGTCCTTGCGCAAAGGATCCTCTGTGTTTGCAGGCAAACATGGCTTCATCACCCTTAGAGATCTTTTCCGTTGGGCGGACCGCTACAGGCTGGAGGAACAGGCAGAGGCCTCTCGGGACTGGCTGCAGCATTTAGCAGATGATGGTGAGGCTCATTAAACAACCCGTTAAATCACTTCCACACAGAGATCCTAAATTGAAATTTTCCCTCCCCGACAGGGTATATGCTTCTGGCAGGACGTGTGAGAAAACCTGAAGAAGAGGTCATCATCCTATCCATCCTGGAGAAGCACTTCAAACGAACGGTGAACCCGGAATATCTGTTCTCTCAGAAACAGGTTGCCAGCCAGTTCAGTGAGTCAAACGTATTTCATGACATTTTCATCCCCAATGATGATACTTTCCTTACTTTGCACTAGTATTTAATGAGCGTTTAGTCTGCTTACATTACTTTAATGATAGCAGCACTCAAGTTGCATGCACTTTCTCTCAGGTTTCAATGTTAACTGTTAACATTTTAGTTGACATGGAATACTTAACATTGCTGATTTTATCTGTTTGTAAAAACAATGGCAGGTGTCACTGTAATATACACTTGCTTAAAATCCGCAGCATCTGCTTCATGCACTGACATTTAGAATTCAGATACAGTGAACAGAGTTAAGTATGATGTTGAAAGCCTGTAACCAGTATTGTGTACATGGGTAGCGCCAAATCACAGCAACCGCTGCCTTGAGGCGACTACTGTTGTACTGTGCTTATTATATTAGAATACAAAACAAGTCATTTTAACTAAGAAAACCGAATTGTTCAGCTCGTGATCAACACAGTGTCGTGTTGTTTGATGATCTCAACAGGTCCCTTCATCGACAGCATTGCTGGAGTCCCAGAGGAGTTCCGACATGTGGTGTGGACACAGGACATGAGGAGACTGGCTGTGCTCCTCGGTCGAGCGCTGCGATTTGGCGAGTCTGTCCTGCTTGTAGGAAACACGGGGTAATATTAAGATATTATTCTTAATATCTGGGAAGTAATGAAATACTTTAACTCTACTTGAGTATAATTTTTAGGTATCTGTACTAGAGTATTTTTTTTTTTCTGACAACCTTTTACTTTTACACTCTATATTTTTAACTTCCTAGGACCTGGCGTCCACATATGTGGACATCACATTTTGGGTTGTCTAGACCAAAATACTAAACTCTCAGGAGGTTAAATAAATATCTGAACTTTCTACTCAAATTTTCAAAACAGACTTGTTATATTCGCTTGAACAAATTTGAGGGGAGTTGTTATTTCACATCCCTATGGGCCTAATACACGAAAGATGATCCTATTTTCATATTGCGAAGTGTGGTGTATAACAACCAAAGGTAGACTAATAGTGTTATTTAAAAGACTCTACTGTGATGGATTCAAAGTACAGACTAGTGTGTGGCTGTGGGGCTCATGGTCATAATTTGATATACATCAGGTGTAGCAGAGATGAATTTGAAGTTAAGCTGACGATGCTTTGATTAATTCACTGAATTCAACCTTCATACAAACTTTATAGTGTATAATATAAAGAAACATAAACAGTGTACTGTCAGTGTAGAGGATGGAAATAATTTGTGATTCTTTCCCCCATGCTGAGCCACTAGAACCGGTTTTAGGGTTCTCACATATGCTTTCCATTAGATGATATGCCGACGTACCAGGTAGTTTTTGAACTCCAAGTAAATTGAGTCAGTCTGAAAGTGCAACTCCAGTCAGTCTCTGTTCCTACACTTAAGTGCTTTCTATCTTACATTCACACACATTCATCCACTGAACACATTGGGGAGCATTTTGGGGGTTCAGGATCTTGATTGATCAGCTCTAACTCCTGAGCTATAGCCACCGCATAATGTACAAAAACAGATTTGTGAGAGTCATGTTTACTGTGCAGATACGGTTTTTTTTATACATAAATGTCTAATGTCATGTGTTTTCTATGTGCTCCTGCTCCTTCATCAGATGTGGAAAGACCACCATCTGTCAGCTGTTTGCTGCTTTGGCTGGACAGAAGTTCTTTTCAGTCAACTGTCACCTCCACATGGAGACATCTGATTTCCTGGGAGGACTCCGGCCTGTCAGACATACACATCAGGTAGTGATAAGTCCTCACTGGGGCCACTAGTGATATTCAAAATGTGGAGGAAAATATGTTCTCCACAGTACTGAAAGTTGTTCATCTGAATCTGTTGTTCATCCCATTCAAAAAGTGGAAAGATTCTTGCCCCCATCATGTCAACTGGGGTGGGGTGGGTGGGTTAGTTAGTTAACTTAGAAATTTAACTACATATTTCTATATATATTATTATACAGCTGTGATGCATTTCTGTAAATTCTTATTATTAAATTAGACTTGTGTTGATACATTCTAAAGAAAATCCTGGTTAGTAGTGTAGAAGCACGAACTTCTAAACTAAACTTTGTGCATGTCTGTGTAGAATGACGGGGAGGACGGCAGACTGTTTGAGTGGCATGATGGGCCCTTGGTACAAGCCATGAAGGAGGGAGGTGTCTTCCTCATGGATGAAATCTCATTGGCAGACGACTCTGTCCTAGAGAGACTCAACAGGTACCCACACAAAATATACATGTTCCATATCTACGCTTATCTTGAGGGTCAACAACCCTGCAGCTCAAGAAAGTAAAATAAAAGAAGAAAACTGTTTAGATGCTTTAGAAAACAGAAAAACTGTACAGTAGTATTTTGCAGTATTTTGTTCTGAATGTTATACATGCTGCAAATTGAAGTTTACCTAGTAATCAGTATTTTTTTTTCTGCCACTGAAAAGTTGCTATATAGGAGGCTGTTTGTATTTAACACACTAACTTAAACAATTAAACAAAAAACCTTATCAAGTGGCCCAAAATGCTTTGTGAAAATTAGAGTTAGCAAGATCATAACGGAATAAATATGTCTGTATTATACTGATAGAATAGTGATATGTTGGGATCTTGGGTATTTTCACATAATAATTTGAAATATTAATATTATATTATTAATATTATACCTTAATCAGAATCAGAAAGACTTTAATTATCCCCAAGAGGCAGTTAAGATACAACAGAGCAGCATGACGTTGAAGATAAGGACAGGGCATAAACAGGCAATAAGAGTGAGATAAATACACACAGAATATACAGTATATACACAGTTTTAAAATTAAAGTGACTGAAAGGTGAATAAATAACTGTATGTAACTAAAAGTGAATAAAGTGTCGGTAGTATAAGAAGAGTGTAGTTTATGTTTCTGGTGTGGGAAATGATCTTATCGGCTGGAGTTAAAAAGCAGAGTGGCTTTGGGGACAAAGGTGGCTCTCCTCCTCTCAGTCCTGCAGAATGTGAGAGGGGTCGTTGATGATTTTGGCTGCCTGTCTAAGCGCCTGTTGGCTGAAAACCTGTGCAAGAGTTCTGACAGGCAGGCCAATAATTTTAGAGCACACTGATGCAGTGTGCTGCAGTCTGTTCCTGTTCTGAAGGCTGAGGGAGTGGAACCAGCAGGTGATGGAGAAGGCCATGATGCTTTCCAGGAAGACATAGTAAAAAGTCATCATGATGGGTGTGCTGACTCCAAAGGAGTTGAGTTTCCTGAGGAGGTATAGCTGTTGGTGGCACCTCCTGAGAATCTCCTCTGTGTTAACAGAGAATTTCAGGAGGTTGTCAAAGATGGTTCCCAGGTATTTGTACTCCTCAACTACCTCCACTGGCTTCCCTTGGATGGTGGTGGTGACTGAAGCAGCCAGATCCCTCTGCCTACTGGAGAAGGTCACCACCATCTCTTTGGTTTTGCTCACGTTCAGTTTGGAGCTGTCACACCACTCTACAAACTCCTGAAGAGTGGGCCCATGGTGTTGTGAGGGGCCTGACAGCAGTGACAGAAGAACTGTGTCGTCAGCATATTTCACCAGGTGACAGTTGGGCTGTGTGGATCTGCAGTCATCAGTGTAGAGGATGAAGAGCAGGGGGAGAGCACAGCCCTGGGGGGAGCCAGTGGAGGTGGAACAGAAACCGAAAGAGAGTTGTTGACCCAAGCTTTCTGAGTCCCGCTGGTCAAAAAGTCTTAAGTTAACATTGTTAACATACAACCTTAAGTTGTATTTGCACTCGATTGCTTGTAGTTGTAGCGTTCACTTGTTTGGTACTTAAGAAAGGTTATGTCTTGATGCACGCTCAGTCATCCAGGTAAGGAAATGAACAGAATTGACTTTTTGGAATGTGAAAAGTTCCTCTGAGTGTAAACTTGCCAACATTTAATTTTAAAAACACTGCACAAGCTTTGACCTTTGATAGTGTGTTTGTTTGCTACCAGTGTTCTGGAGACAGAGAAGTCCCTTGTACTGGCAGAGAAGGGCAGCGGAGATCGTGGTGACGTGGAGCTGATAAAAGCAGCTACAAATTTCCGTCTGGTCGCCACCATGAACCCTGGAGGAGACTTTGGCAAGAAAGAGGTGATGAAATGATGCAAAATGGTACAAGCTACTGTTTTTCCTATAGGGAAGTTTTTGTTAGACTTTGATGCTGCACAAAATAGCTGCTTCCACATTTATAATAGAACAAAAACAAAGAAGACAAACAAACCACGTGAACTGTTGCAAGTCACAGCCCCAGATTACACGCATTGAACATTTTAAACCTACCACACATATTTTATGCAGCATTACACTGCACAAAATATCCGAATATTGCAGGAATTAGACCTGTTGTACAGATCTGTCACAAACATTCAACTTTGCCTTTTATTGTACATTGCACATATTATACCTAGAGTGGCTGGTGAAACACAAAGTCATGATAATGGACTTATTTATGTGCTGAAGGTGTGAGATGGAACTTTACATAGGTGTTACTTGTGCATGTATGTTTCTTCACAGCTCTCTCCAGCCTTACGAAATCGTTTCACAGAGCTCTGGTGCCCTCAGACCAACAATCGCAGTGACCTGGTTAAGATCATCCAACACAACTTGCGCTCAGGCCTCTCCCTTGATGGTAACCCATTTACAGTTCACCGGGTTTAAAATGACCAAGTGCATAGTTTAAAAAGCGTTTGACTTTTATGTTATGAACCATGTATGATGTTTTTTAGTTAACTTCAGTTTTATTCTTCTGGTTTGTTCCCACAATTCCACATTGTTTCCAGCAGTAGCAGCCAGTCATTTTAAAAAAGACAGCTCTAATACACACTTTGTTGAGCAGTATAACAGGTGCAGTCGAGTCTAGAACATGGGAGACTATTTAGCATTTAAAGAGATACACGTTTCTCAGAAGTTTGAGACTAAAGAAAAGATAAAAACCAGAGTGAATATCGAGTTGTGTAGCAGATGTGGAATTTCCATAGTGTGCTCTTGCCACTGAGTTCTCATTAGAGGTTATGTTAAACAAGGTGATAATTAAAATGACTGATTTCAAGCAGGTGAATATAACTTTTTAATTGAACACAGGTGGGGACGTTGCAGAGCTAATGCTGGACTTCATCGAGTGGCTCACACAGCAAGACTTTGGCCGCCGCTGCATCCTGAGTGTTAGAGACATTCTTTCATGGGTCAACTTCCTCAATGCTGTGTGCGAGCGGGATGAAGATAGCTTCATGACCATGGGAGCTATTGAAGACGAAGATGAAGCCGAGTGGGACCTGCGTCTGGACACTGTTACTGCCTTCATCCACGCTGCTTGTCTCGTTTATATCGATGGCATTGGCTCAGGTGAGCTGACGGCTTATGTTTAAATTCCGCTGAAAGTTTGGCACTGAAAGAAATTGTTGGTAGATCCATTCTGGCTTCTTTGCAGGGACCACAGCCTCCTGTGCAGATGGTGTCCTCCTTGCTCGTCGTCTGTGCCTGAGCTTCCTGCAGCAGAGACTAAGCAAGATGACCAAGCTGGACCAGGATGTAATGGATGCCCTGAGAGTGTATGACAGAAATTTGCCACGGGAGCCTCAGTGGGGAGAAGATTTCTTTGGCATTGATCCCTTCTACATCGCATTAGGTATACATTTAGTGATTCCTTAATGTACTATTAAGGAATCACCAGGCTAGAATAGCCTGGACATATCCACACCATTTTTTAATTTTATTAACAGTGTTGGGAAAAGTGTGTCATCTAATTCAAGCTGAGTTTTTAGTGCAATAAAGTTCACTATAACATGATGCAGTAGCTCTATGTCCACCCATAGAGGGCTAGTTGCCCGCTCTAGAACAGCTGCTTTATTCCGAGATGTGGATCCTGTTCTGCACCACTTCTACAAAGACTTTCTTTACATGAAACTACACATGCTCATGTATACTACCGGTCAAAAGTTTTAGAACACCCCATTTTTCCAGTTTTTCATTGAAAATGATGCCGCTTTAATGTCTCACTGCACTCTGAAATGAAAGCATAGTACAAATAAGCAATTGGAGGAATCAATTTATAGACCAAAATGTATTCTAAACTTTTGACTCATCAAAGTAACCACCCTTGGCAGATATAACAGCTGAAAGCATTCTTTCTACAATAAAAACCAGTAGAAGTTCTTCCCATATCTGTTGCAGAAGTTCCCCTAAATGTGTGGCACTTGTAGGTTTCTTTGCTTTCACTCTTCTGTCCAGTTCATCTCAAACCATCTCCATGGGAGATGCTTTCCATCTTGTTCTTTTTCCTGAGGCAGTTCTGACATAGCTTGGACAATGCAAGCGGTTAACTCCCAGAAACTTGTCCTCTGATTCAGTTGTGTCTTTGGGTCTGTCAAACCTCTTCCTGTCAGAGTTTGTTTTTGAGTGCCTTTTAATGGTGAAGGAAACTGTACTCACTGACACCTTGACTTTGTTTGCAGTTTCTCTGTAGGAAACACCTACATTTATAAGTGTTATGATGGACTGTCTGTCTTCCATTTTTGTATCATTCTGAAATGTACATCATTTTACAGTTTTGGGTATCCTTACCTAACCTCTGGCAGTTAGTTCACCACTTACCTTTGTACCATTTCAAGCTATTCATTTGACTTGAATGACTTGAATTGTAATAAATAACTAGAATAACTTTTTGACCGATTGTGTACAGTGGACCTGTCTTCCATGATAACACACATACAACTGTTTAAGTGCTTGTGATGAGGTCACTGGTGTTTGTGTAATGTCTCATAATGCCTTTGTTTCCAGGGCCTCACACCGAGAGCCGTAACCTGTCAAACTACGCCATTGCAGCAGGCACCACTGCAGTGAATGCTCAGAGGATTCTGCGGGCACTGAAGCTGCAGAGGCCTGTGCTACTCGAGGGCTCACCTGGCGTGGGAAAAACCAGCCTGGTGGCTGCACTAGCAAAAGCTTCTGGAAACCATCTGGTCAGAATCAACCTGTCGGAGCAAACGGTAAATTGGCATGCTCAGCACTGTGCTCTGAACTCAACTCTAAAGCCTCTGGTAATGATGACATACACTCTCTGCAGGATGTCACCGATTTATTTGGGACAGATCTCCCAGTGGAGGGTGGGAAGGGAGGAGAGTTTGCGTGGCGCGATGGCCCCCTTTTGGCTGCTTTGAAGGCAGGGCACTGGGTGGTACTGGACGAGGTAGGGATCACTCTTCTGACACTCTTGCAGTTTTGTACACTGATTTTATAGTTTTGCTCTAACGTTTTTCAAACTCCAAACAATCTGATTAGACTGATCAGCTGTATTATTGGTGTTATTCCATCATAGTTGAACTTGGCCTCTCAGTCAGTGCTGGAAGGCCTGAATGCCTGCTTTGATCACCGAGCAGAAATCTACATTCCAGAACTGGCCATGAGCTTTCAGGTACAGCATGACAAGACAAAGATCTTTGGATGCCAGAACCCTTTCACTCAAGGTGGCGGGCGTAAGGGGCTGCCCAAATCCTTCCTCAACAGATTCACTCAGGTAAGACCTGATTAAGAGTTTTTGCGTTTTTAGTTATTTTTTTATTTTCATAGAAAAGCTTTTATGGGCGGTAGAATAGTCTTAATAGACAGTTATTTAGTTGACCAGATCCACTTAAAAATTAAGAGTAAGATTTTTATAATGTGCTTGTTGCAGGGGATAAAAGAAGACTTGGTGTGTCAGGTTTCAGCTATTTTTTTATTTGTGAATAATTTCAGTCACTGTGATTGCTTATCACACCATAAACATGTGAAAACTACAGTGGTGACATCTGTGCCTGTTCAGAAAAGTTGTGCAAAAACAATGTAGGCAGTTTTTGTAAAACACTCCAATTCTACAAAGTAACCTTAAAATGACCTCTGAACTATGATGGATCAGCCAGACGAGCTACTCCATCATTCATATTCTGGTTGCTATTTTTCATGAACTCTTATCTGGCCCTGTCTTCCCAGGTTTTTGTGGACCAGCTCACCAGCAAGGACATGGAGTTCATAGGAGACTTGATTTTTCCCAGTATCGACAAGGAAATTGTTATCAAAATGGTCGAATTCAGTAACAGGGTATGCTTTTCTCTTTTCCTTTATTTTGTTGGTTTCTGTTAGGTTTTCCGCACATTTATTATATCTACTTACTTCATTGATGCTAGAACATGGTTGGACTCATTTTGCCTCCAAAACTAGATAAATTTTTGTGTGGCATAGATTTAAAAAGGTGCTGGAAACATTCCTTAGAGTTTCCGGTCCATATTGGTATAATAGCATCACACAGTTGGTTGTTATTTGTCAGTTGCACATCCATGAAGCGAATCTGCCGTTCCACCACATCCCAAAGACGCTGTATTGGATTGACAGTGTAGCCTATTTGAGCAGAGCAACTCGTTCTCATGGTCAAACAATTAGTTTGTAGTGATTTGAGCTTTGCAACTTGATGTGTTACTTTGCTAGAAGCAACCCTTAGAATATGTGTCCACTCTGGACAGAGACGATTGTCTCGTTCATCAACAACAGTCAGCTAGGCTTGGCATGTGAACAATGGTCAGTTGGTACTAAAGCACCCAAAGCGTAGGTCAAGAAATATCTCCATGCTGTTACCATGGTGTCATTGATAAGCTAGCATGGATCCATGCTTATATTTTGTCTATGCCACAATCCATCAGTGCATTTCTTCAGGCTTTAAGGGAAAAGTGGGCTAATTGCTTGCTAAAAGACATGATGACCTAATGAGAGTTTGCTCAAATGAACCTGATCTGTTCTGGTGAAACCAGGATTGCACTGTCTGGCAGTAATTTCCTGCGTGCTTTCTTTTTAGAGGACACCCTGCAGTAAGTGTCACAACATCAATATGTTCCCTCCATCCAGTCCGCTTTACTGAGTGCTCAGGGTTCCAGGCTTGTGTGGAGGTTTACATTTCAACAGAATTATTTAAAGCATACCGCCATGAAAACCTAGACAAACTGATCTGCTGAATTCTTTTCTGAATTGGATATTGTAGTCCAGTTTTGAGAATTTCAAACTCCAAAACCATTTTTGTCTCTGTGAAATATCAAGTAACGTAAACAAGCCTCCTGTTATGTTAGAGTTATATGACATGGATCTCTGACATGACAGTTAGGTATAATGCATCACCAGACCAGAGAAAACACCATCCGTGATGGACTGAAAATCACATTTTACACCTTGGTCACCAGGTGCTAGTGTGGGTCGCGTTTTTCCAGTTGCTTACTCTGCATCATAGCGCCAAGTTGGAAAGCATGTTGGAAAGCATGTTGGAAAGCTAGTTTTATGGTTCCACAAAGGTAGCGTGTTCACTGTCCACTCCACTTCAGGGGGTGCCCGTCTGCCAGCAGTGAGCTCTATTACCAGATTGAGGCATTGTCCAAAGTATGGGTCTTCACCAGATGCTTACATCAACTTGGCAGTGGCTAAACTGCTCACTCCTACATGAGATTGATCCCTTTTAACAACCAAGTAAACTCTTTAAAGAGTGTGCTGTTGCTGGGTCTTGTCATCAATATTTACACACTGACAGTCCATGGATAGTGCACCCAATTCACATTGGGTAATTCCAGTTCATTTACCATTTATCATTTAACCTCATTATTTAAACTTTG